TGATTGCCATGCTGACATGAAGAACCAAACAGCACCAACATGAACAAGCTTGACATGCAACTCAAGTGCTACGATGGCAAGACAGGTTAAGCCTAGGTATGAATTGATGAGCCAACTTAATTCAGGGGACAAACTTCAGGTTCAATGACAGAGCCTGTCATTTTTTATGTTTTCATTTTATAAGATCCATAAAATATATTCTGATTATAGTCTTTCCTCTACCCCAACTTCTCCTAGATCCTCGGCTCCCCTACCTACCCAATATTCTTTCACTGTTTTTTTTTTCTTTTTAAAAAAGACATCAAGACAAAAATTCCTCCCGCCACAACATATAAATAAATAAATATCGCATCCAATTTGTGTTGGCCAAGAACTTGTGAGCTTGAGGTTTGCCCTGTGGTCTATTTAACAAACCTCAATTGTCCCTCTAGTGAAGAAAAGTTTTTCATTCTCCCAGCAGCTATTAATTGCAAATGGGTTCTTGGTTAAGGATAAGACTTTGTGCCCACTTTCCACTCTCTATGCTGGGACATTGCCTTAAGGTTGCACAAGTCTTGTGCATGCTGTCACAGACTCTGTGAGTTTGCATGTCAGTCAACCCTGCTGTGTCTGGATAACACTGCTTTCTCGACAACATAAACCACCTCTGCCATTTACAGTCTTTCTGCTTCCTCTTCTGTGTAGATTCCAGAGCTCTGAGGAGAGGAGTATAATAAATTCCATTTTTGGGTGAACGTAGATGAAGACTGCTCATTCATTTCCCAGCCTCTCTGACCTGAATAATCATACAGAAACTATATTAATTACAACACTGTTTGGCCAACAGCTTAGGCATATTCCTAGCTAGCTAAATTAACCCAAATTCCATTATTCTTTGTAACTCCAAAAGGCTGTGGCTTACTGGGTGAGGTTCAGGTGACTGTCTCTTTCAGCAGCTACATGGTATCTCCTTGACTCCACCTACTCTTTATATATATATTCAGATTTCCCATCTGGCTTTGCTTTGCTAATCCATTGACCAAAACAGCATTATTTATCAACCAATAAAAGAAGGACATCCCACATCATCTTCCCTTTTCTGTCTAGTTAAAAAGAGAGACTAGGCAGAGTCAGAGATGTCATATAGCTGCACCTACAAGTGAGTGCTCCATGGTCTCTTATTCTCTAAACTTTGTCCAGTTGTAGGTCTCTCTGCTAATTACCATCTATTATTGGAAGCTACTCTCATGAGTATTCATCCAGGACCAGGAATGGGTTAAAATTCAGTTGTTAATCAAAGGAGTCCTATAAATCCCCACAATGCTGTATGGTTTTGACAATGTTATTGATTAATCTCCAAACCTGACAGCAAAACCCTATTGCTGAAAATAGCAAATAATTTATGACATCAAATATGGAAAAATCAAGTTGGTGAGATCTATCTTAAGGGAACAAAGCAGAAAATGATAGAGGAGGACATCCAAAGTTCTTCTCTGAGCTCCATGAAAGCGTGTGCAAAGACATTTACAGCATGCATGCACATGCACACATACAAACACACATACATACATACATACATACACACACACAGAGAGAGAGAGAGAGAGAGAGAGAGAGAGAGAGAGAAATAAACTATGTCCACAAACTGTGTAAATGATGCAAGCCTTGTAATGAGTCATCAGGTTGCTATGTTTCTGGAGATATTAAGCCAGGATGTTGTAAGATTTTTGTTACACTACCCGGGACAGAATGTTATTTCATATTTATGGGTTGTCTCTTATGGAATCCTCTTTTTAATATTTTCAGTCTAGAGATATATAAAGTGAAATATGCTAAAATAATTACATGGAGGGGAGCACTTTTGAGATAAAGTTATATAAAAGCTGTGACCTTCATGTTGCAAGTCCCTCTTGCCTGTTCAGATCACTCATCTGGGAGAAAGACAGCTGCCACAAGGTGATACAGCTCTGTGGAATGAACTGCTGAAAAGGAAGAGGTCAGAGAACAATTGCAATATTGAGCATAGAAGCAAAAGTCTACTGTGTTCTCTCTTAGATGAGACCACAGTTTTGGTTGACAATAGTAACTTCATGAGAGATGCAGGTCTAAAATGCCCAACTAAGTCACACCAAGATATCTCATCAGTGTAACCATGATAGAACTGTTTATTCTTACCCCCTCAGAGGAGTGTATGGAAAGAAGATGAGGGCAGGAGGGGAGTGGGAGAAGGAGAGAGGGGGGAAACTGAGGTTGGAATGTAAAATTAAAAATAAATAAATAACACAATCCCAGAGAACCTAGACAATAATGAGGACCCTAAGAGATCTAATCTACATGGGAAGTAGAAAAAGACAAGATCTCCTGAGTAAATTGGAAGCAAGGGGGCCTTGGGAGATGGTTGAAGGGCAGGGGAGAGACAAGGAGGGGAACAGAGAAAAATGTAGAGCTCAATAAAAATCAACAAAATAAATAAATAAATAAAACAAAAGATGGAAAAATGTTTATTCTTGGATGGCACTCTGATTTGGATAATTTGTTATGGAATCCCAGATAACTAGCACAGCCCATGCCCTTTTCAAATGCTAGCACTTGAATGCAAAAATAAATGGTTACATTCCATTTATTGTCATCATTTTCACTATTTCTGCTGCCAAAATTACATATTTACCAAATACGTGTGTGTGTTTAGACATATATGTTCATAGATAGATAGATAGATAGACAGACAGACAGACAGACAGACAGACAGACAGACAGATAGATAGGTATACATCCCAGTATCACATTTTGTAGGACCTACCTATGATCCTGAGCTGGTTCCATCTGATATGAATATTATTTTAAACATGAATTAATCAGAAGGGAATTATAGTAGATAGTGCATGTTGAATTCACACAGATTTCAATTCAAAGTCCAATCTGCCTACATATTCATGGAACCGTGGTTAAGTCAAATGTCCCATATGAGCTTTGGTGTCATCACTTATGAAGTGAAGAATGGGTCTGGAAAGAGAAAGGTCACATCTAGCCTGGCAGGAAAATCTTACAGACAGCAATTTTACACTGATGGTGTTTAAGCAAGCTTTTAAAAGATGAATAAAGGTTAAGAAGCAGAAGTGGGACAAATAGTCATCTCAGCAGCAATGGTAGCTGATACAGAGGTCTGGCATCTTTAGCAGGTGGAAAGAGTGTGACGTTGAAGAGGAACGCCACAAGGGAGGAGTTTCTACAATCTGTCTGGATTTAAAGTATGCCCTGCATTATATAAAACACTCAGACTCCTTTGCAAGATTGGCAATTATTGAGTTTTGAGAAAAGACAGTGACATGTATAGGTTAATATTTTGCAAATATTCTACATCTGATAAAAGGCAGAGGCCAGTAGACTTTTTGCAAAGGACTAGATGATAAAAATATCTTGCATCTTGTGGCCTGTGTGGTAGTTTTCACCACAATGTAGTTATTATGCTTTTAGGGAAATCACAAAAGTACTGGGTGGATGCAGCCAAATGTCAGATTACAGGAACGGACAACAGGCGGTGTTGAGTCTCTGGGCCTCAGTTTCCCAATTCCCGATGTAAAGTTTACAGGATGAAGACAAATTCCTTGTCCAGAAAATACTCAGGAAGATGTCTATGGACTGGAGAGATGGAACCATCATTAAGACCACTTGCTGCTCTTAATATTTTGGAGAGGACTTGCGCCATCCACATGGTGGCTCACAGCCATCTGTAACTCCAGTTTCAGGGGTTCCAACATCCTCTACAGGTCTCTACAGGCACCAGGAACTCATATGTCATATCTACATACATGAAAGCAAAATATTCAAACACCTACAACAAAATATTTTTTAAATTAGTCAATTACTTAATTCAATCTTATTTATCACACTTACAAGAAATGTTGTCCATTTCCCTGTAAAAGATGCTTGGGACTCAGGGGTGGCAAATAGATAACCTCCTTTTTCTGGTAGAAGTCAGAATACAGTGAATCAGAATAATTGAGAAAAGTCTTAAGAATGAGTGCTGTAAGACAGAATTCCTGAACTACACAGACATCATCATTGCTGTAATGAGTTTATCTGATATTTACAACGATTGTATTTAAAAGTATTTTATGCAACAAAACATCTAGTACACATTTAAGGACTGAATAGAAAGAACTTCAAGAAACCACAACTTCCTGCCAATAAATCTAGTGTAAAGTCAAAGAGACAGGCCAATGCTTAATGCTAGTAAGCTTCTATGTGTGTTCTGATAGTTGCTTCCAATACCTTAAAGTGACTACTCTTCTCATGTGAAAATCTGGCCCTGCTTCCCTTCATATTCCTGCTGGGGAGATAACTCAGGCCAGAGCAGTGAGCAGCAGAGTCTGATGTTTTATAATGGGAGACTAAGCAAAAAGTCTGCCATAAGCCCTTGTGAGTCCCACAGAAAACTCGGGATGGGCCTGGGAACTGGAGTCAGGAATCCCGATTGCTACTTCCTGCTTCCAATCACCCTCCCAGGAGATCTGCGCCAGCTGTGTCTGAGCAGATGGAAGACTGAGAGAGTCCTTGAAAACCTGAGTTCTTTTCATAAAGTGGTCTTTCTGTGGTGTGAGCGGAAAAGGGACAAAGAAACTGTAGGCTTAGGAAAGTAGCGTTTCCTTTCAACAGATCAAGGGCGGTGGCCGGAGGAAGAGAGAGTGGCCTGCTGGCCACAGAAGATGAAGTTCCCAGTTTGCCCTGAATGCTCACCCACTGGCTGAGAAGGAATTCTGTCATGCTCGGAATAGCGTGGCTGCACAACAAGGCCTTCTGTTTCTCCCTAATGAGTTGATTATATCCTGTCAGAAGAGTCATAAGGCCATCAAATGTCAAGTCCATTTTCTCAAACATATTATTTTCATAGCAGCTGGGTCTGACTAAGTCTCAAAACAGAGCATCCCATTGTTCCTTTCGGCAGAGAATGCTAGACTGAAACTCAATTAGAAGAGAAAGGAAAGGGGGCTCAGAGGACACATGATCCTGATTCACGCAAGTTTATGATTTGCCGTTTAGAAGTCACTTTTATTAGGATGATTTGGTCACTTAGTTCACAATTAGCTCATAATGCCAGAGGAAATAGACATGGAATGTGTTGCTCAGTCGCCAGGACTCTGTTTCTCATAAGGAAAGCAGGCCATGTCTTTAGTCACTGCCTGATGCTGGAAAGAGAAGACCAGAAGTGAGAGGGATCTCTAAGCATCCCAATACAAGCTTGTCACAGTCCCCAAACATGCAGGTATGATATTGAGATAAAACAAATAGACTTTTTAAGAATCAGACAAACAGAGTGCTGGATACGTATAACCCAAATAATCTTGAGCTTAGTGCCAAATTAAACATACTAATAACTAGTAAAAATTCACTGAAGGAATGAAGTGGCTTAAGACGCCCATGGCAGGCTACCAAAAAATGTTCTGTAAATGATAATGATTCTTTTAATCATGATAACGTGAAAATGGAGAGAAATGATGAAAATTATAAAGTGTCCATCAAGGACAGTACACAAGACTAGACAGAGAGAGGCTGTGATCAAGAGTCGAGAAATCTGAACCTGAAACCAAAGAGTCATCTCCCATTTATATTAATGAATCTAGTATCTAGCAAGTTTGACAGCACAGACTGTCCAGGCTGGCGTTAAAAGGAAACAAGCACATGTCCCACCGCCCACTTTTGAGCTGATATGATCTTTTGTTTTCGCTTGTTTTCATTTTTTTTTTTTTTGGTAAGGGTTGGCAAAATTTAAAATGATCCTATTGTTCCTAGACTCTGGCACACACTTCCCATCACTGGTTCAAAGACTAACCCAAATATCACTGTTCAGGGATTTTTTGTGGGGAATGTAAAAATGACCCAATCTCAACAACTGTGTGAGCACAGTTTTTTCCAGCTGACTGATGAAAAGAAAGTCAGAGGTGAAAACATGGATGATTTGACACAATGTTACTTGTTTGGAAATGTTCTTTCATAACAAGGAATAAAAGAAATTGATATTGGTAGACCTACCTGCAAACAGGAGTGAGTTATCAGTCCTATAATGACAAGATCCTTCAACGAGATCCTTCAATCTTTTCCAGCAGAATGGGTTTGGCATTGGATCTTTGGTTTACATATCTAGGAGATGAGAATGCATCTCAATATCAAAATTATGGTGTTTCTGTGTAAACCAAAATCTAGTACACTCTAATTCTGATCCAAAAGTTGTGAGTTAGTTACTAGGGATTGTTTTAATTCACAAACATCATCATATATCAATAGAAAACGGATATAAATGTCCCAAAAGCTACAAATGCCAGAAGTTTCACTAAGTCCTCTTGCCTCTAAACAAGCCTGGGCTAGCTACCTAAGCCTAAGGAATTGCCTCAACCCTGTGTTAAATATTGGCACGTGTGCACACAAGCACATACACACACACACACACACACACACACACACACACACACACACCAAGTTTTAAGTTTGAAATACCTTGATAACTGAAGGGAATGTACATATTTTATTTGAGGTAATTCTGTTCACTCCCTTAATGCCCTTCTTGTTCTGTGTCATTTCTACAGTAAATACTCATTGAACAACTATCCGACTATCATGTGCCAGGCTACAAAGATACAACTTAATTGACCAACACACAACCCTTCAGTGAGGTAGTAGGCGATGATGAATTGGCAACAATAAAGGAAGTCTAAACAAAAAGAACTCAATCCTAGCTTAGACATCAAGGAGTGTTTCCTAGAGTTTATAGAGTGAAACCTACATCATAATACATGCAAATGGAAGATTATTTCCAGACAGAAATATAATATGTAAACTATCACAAGTGATTGAGGTCTGAAGCTTCTAGGAGAGTTCAGCATCTGCCTTGACTTGGCAAGGGGGAAGCAGAGAAGAGACGGTGAAGAGGTAAGAAAAGATGACATCTTCTCTATATTAGAATCTTCCTAAGAAATTGAGAATTCTTCCTATGTCATGGGAAACCCATGGAGATCACTAATGAACCCACCCAGAGTAAGTATGAACCTTTCTTCAGCAAGCTGTTGTCTAGAACTTGGACAATCTTGGGGAAAACAAGTCATTCTCATAAAAATGGCAATCATGAAGACTGAGGGGATGACCTAAGTTAGTCTCATGGGATAATCAAAAAGAGATGTGAGGATTGTCAAGTCTTAGTTTTCATTTCTAAGATGTAGAAAATAAATGAAGGTAAAGCAGGCTGCATCTCCAAGGTTTCTGACTTGGGAATGAGATGGGAAGTAATGCAAATCAGTGAGAAGGAAACATTGGAGAAGGAGACATCTTATTAGGAGTCAGGGTAAAGGTGGAAGGGAGGTGTGCTAGTAGATGTTTGCTTTTTGAGTGTTCATGGGAAAACATAACATAGATACAAAAGATTAGGACAATGCCTGCAGAGGGAGTTTGTACAATCAGAAGTGATGGTGACCCCTTAGTTTTGCAGATTGGAAACACCAAGTGTGGTTTCCGTAGCAGCATCACTGACTTCTTAACAGCTTTGCTTAGTTCTTCCCTGGTTGGTTGTTCAGCGTCTATGAAAGCACAACTGATCAAAGCTCTTGTTATCCTAATTATCACTGCCCTACTAACAAGCTCTCTCCTAAACCTGCAGATGAACAAATTAGCAGCACAATGGTTCAATGTTATCAGAGAGGTGGAAGCACCGCGAGATCACAAAGATCCATTGAGAGCTGAACGAGATATTAAAAAGCTTTGTATTTTATTCTGCTTTTAGACCCATTTTTGTGATTAAATAGTTAGTAAGCACACCTGTTATGCGTATTTGGAAATTAAAGTGGAATGATACAAGGTAAATGGAAGCATCAATATGTCTTCAGAAGTCAAAAGAGCTCCTTACAGCAACACATGAGAGAGCCAGGGCTTTAGAGAAATAATGGAAGGAATAGCTTTTGTTATAGCAGCTCTTGAGCTGGGTTTTGCTTCTGTCAGTCCATTTAATGGGTAAGTATTAAAACATGATGCAAGCAGTCAAGCATCACAAGTAGAAGCAGGAATATATAGTCTGACACAAATCACTAGAGTCTAGGAACACAAGTTCTAGATTTACATTCTTGATACAAAGTTTTTTTGAACTAGATTTTTGAGCTCTGCAAAACTTACACGCCGTCTCTAAACATTAGATTCCCCATTACTTTAACGGAAGGTTCCCAAAATTCAACTGATATGGTTAATGTCAGCATTTAGTGAAATAAGCAAGGAAGGAAATTCGCAAAATGCTAACACATTTCACTTTAAAAAACAATTATTTTATTATCGTTTTATCATTGCTAACTTGCACTGGCTCCTGATGCATGCTTTCAACATCTGTCCTCATCCTCTAGGGCTTAATGTTTTATAATTCTATAGTATCAGCTTCATGTTCATCGAGATTAAACATTTTCAGCAGAAAACAAAAAATGTTAGCTAGCATTATTCATTTAGAAATTATGCACCAATTACATATTCTGAATGTTTTATGACATCTATCTATGAAATAAACATAAGCCCAAAAATTGATGTTAGCAGAGCCATTCTCCCTTTCTCAGATCATGTTGAGCCATGGCAAGTGATGAGGACCTAAATGGAATAGTACATGGACTTATTTCATTTGAGTCTCTGATTCCTGGCTCAGAAACTGTTTTCTACTGTCTACCATGTGTCTGAAATCTATAAACAAGTGTCCTTTTTTGAATCACAAGGATCCTAGGTAATAAATAAGACTCAGACATTGTTATTCTAAGCTACACTTTTTATTTTTCATATTTATTTATTTGTTGGGGTGCCACAGTCCATTTGCAAAGATAAGAGGAAGTCAGTTCTCTTCCTCATCATATGTGTTCCAAGGATCAAATCTAGAGCATCAAGTTTGTCAACAAGTGCTCTTACCCCATGAGCCATCTAGCCAGTTCCAAAACTTTTTAAAATGTTTATCAATTAGTGACATCGAAATGGTTCCCAAGATTTTTCCAAAGACTATTTTGCTACACCTAGTATTTATTGAGGGTTTTTAACATGGGTTAAGCACACTGACAAATATTTCATATCTAACCATCTAAACCTCTTTCTGGAATGAAAATTGTTATTGTTGGTGCCTTCATTTTATTCACAAAGCTGAGTTTTGAAAGCACAAAATCTAAATCACATTCATAGTAAGGGAAAAAGGTTGAGGTAGGAATTAAAACTGCCTGACTTCCAAAACCATGCTTTTAAAATCACTCTGTATTTTGTACAGCCACGTTGGAAATTAGTATTGCTCTTTCTCAGAAAACTGGAAATCAATCTATCCCAGTTTCCAGCAATATCACTCTTGGGCACACACCCAAACGATGCACTCACATACCACAAGGACATTTGCTCAACTATGTTCATAGCAGCATTATTCATAATACCCAGAACCCAGAACAACAATCTAGATGACCCTCAACCAAAGAATGGATAAAGAAAATGTGGTACATTTACACAATGAGGTATTACTCAGTATTAAAGATAGATAGATAGATAGATAGATAGATAGATAGATAGATAGATAGATAGATAGATAGATAGAGATAGATATGACATCTTAAAATTTGCAGGCATTGATCTAGAAAAAAACATCCTGAGTGAGGTAACACTGACCCAGAAAGACAAACATGAACTTTCATCTAGTAACTGATGGAAGCAGATGCAGAGATCCACAGCTACGCACTGGGCTGAGTTCCCAGAGTCTAGTCGAAGAGAGGGAAGCACAACAATTTGAGCAAGGGTGTCAAGACCATGATGCAGAAACCCACAGAAACAGTCAATCTGAGATAGTGGGAGCTCACTAACTCTGGACTGACAGCAGGAGAACCTGCATGGTACTGAACTAGGCCCTCTGAATGTGGGTGACAGTTGTGGGCAGTCTGTGAGGCCACTGGCAGTGGGACCAGGATTTATCCCTAGTGCATGAACTGGCTTTTTGGAGTCCATTCTCTTTGAAGAGATATCTTGCTCTGTCTAGATACAGCGGGGAAGGCCTTGGTTCTGCCTCAACTTAATGTACCAGACTTTCTTGACTCCCCATGCCTTACCCTCTCTGAGGAATGGGTGGGGTGGGGGGGGAAGGTGAGGGGAACAGGAAGAGAGGAGAGAGGGGAAACAGATTAGTATGTAAAATGAAAAAAAGGTTATTTTTAAATAAAAAAGTAAATTATTAAAAAATGAATCACTGTTTTTATGCATTTTCTCTCCCACTCTTAATTTTGTATGTTTTTAAAATCACTCACACTAACTTATCCCTTGCTTATCATAATAAAATCCATTGAGAAAGTTATTGAGTGGGTCAAATGAACAAGAACAAGATAGAGAAACATCGGTGAAGGAAGTCAATGGGGTTGCAGAAGGGAGCTGGTGTCATGGGTGTAGCATTGGTAAGTCTGTCACTCACACTCCAGGACTCAGAACACCTTCCTTCTTGGACCACAAACTTGGTGCTCATTCTGGATAATCATGTGGTCATTACTAGCTGATTAGGCGTTAATGATCTAATTCAAACCTCATCTTGTTTTCTGTTTTTCTTGTCACTGTGTGACCCAAGTTTTAGAGTAAAAAGTATCTGACAATAACTTCAAGATATGTAGAAAACACTTCACTTTCTCAATTAAAAATGACCAACGGAGAATGAACTCAATTGCATCTTTGTAGGTTCCCTGTCTCATAATGTCCTGTCAGAGGCTCTTCCTTTTAATTTTGTCATAATATTTTTTATTTTTATTTTATTCATAGTTTTTTCTCCTTTTACTCTCTCTCTCTATCTATCTATCTATATCTATATCTATATATATATATACATAGCTTTAAATATATATTATAGCTTCCAGTTCAGTGTTTTTTGTGGAATTCCTCAGTGTGTGAATAAATGGATCTGTTTTTTGTTTTTTTGTGTCTTCTCTTGGGCTCTTTCCTTTTGTCTATTTGTTTTGTCCAGTTTCGATGTGTTCATTGTTGTTTTATCTTTTATTTTATTATTAGCCCCTAGAAGCCTGTTTGTTTTCTAGTGAGAGACAAAACGGGGGTAGATCCAGATAGAAAGAAGGGGAAGCTGGGGAAGAGCTGGGAGAACTAGAGGGAGGAGAAACTTAATA